ACAGAGTTGTGGTTAAAAATGTCTTTAAATTTAGTGATGAGTGATAAAAAGACAGCATCCAATTTCTTTTTGCATTTGAAAATAGGGAATGTTACTATGCAGTAAAAATATTTTGGTATGAAAATTGTATCATGTAGCAAATAGTGAACACTTGCTAAAAATCCACAGACTCACCTTGCAGCCCCTACAGAAACGTGAGAGGAGACAGCTTGTTCTTCAGCATTCACATGCTGAAGGTTTTTGTATACTTTGGAAAAAGAATAAATTGTTGGTAAATGTTTTATCAACAATGCAGAATGCATTTGTTGTTGAAGTGCTTGCTACAGAGCTCTGTTTCTAATTGGTTGCTTGCATCACAGTGCCAAGACCATAAATTGGTGTGTAATGCAGTTCAGTTATGTACAGAATTATGTGCAAAGGGAAGTTTAATTTTTAAATATGCACAAATTAATTTTAAAATTCTTCCATGTAAAATGAAGTTAGAGGCTAGTTGTGGTGGACCTATTTATTGTATGTTTGGAAATAAAAGCCACAGTTTTGCAGTTTAAGCATTTATATTCTGAAGCCTTCTGTATTTTAAAACCAAACCAGAAAACATGGTACCTTGCCACGCTTCATTTAGTCTTTCATTCATGAAGATGTAATGTGTTCCCTAGGTTGTTACTCTTGTACACACACCCACACCCCCCTTCATTTCTCGCCAAAAAGAGTAGATACCTTGCACAGCTTCTTTGTGCCTTCCACCTAAGACAAAAGATACTCCTTTATGAAAGTACTTTATATTAGTAGTGCTGCAGCTTGAGCTTGGTGCCTCTGAAGAGTAACACTGAACGAAGAAATCCCTGGGCAATTGCACCCTTAAGTCAAAGTTCCCCACCCTTCAGGCAGATAGTAATATTACATACAGCCTGGAGTCTTCTTGCTTTTTATTAGTTTGATTTGTTTGCTGTCTCATTACTAAGCAGCTGCCAAGTTGTCATCATCTTACACACTGTCAGCATCCTCCTGGGTTGGTTTTGGCCAGTTCTGTATTTTACCATTTGGCATGTTGTGATATGGTTGCTGCAGTTCATATATCACAATCTATAGGTTTTGCCTACTTCACCTGTTAGTATTTAAGCTGCTTCCTGTGTCTACTCTAGCTGTTACTAATGTTACTACTGTTAGCTCTTAAGTTTCTACTAACTTTTTCTACAACATTGCATTCCTTTGTGTGTCCTGTCCCCATAGAACAATGGGTGGCTGGTGGGGTTGGGGATTCCTGTTGTGAACACATGCCATGTTTGCTAGCACTTAACCTGTCCTCCGGTTGCTGTCTTGTCTGCCCTGCATAGTCTTCCCAGCCCATGCCATTCACGGTATTGTTTCAGGAGTTGCTGTGCTTGAAACCAAGTAGTGGATGCAAGTATCCTTGCTGCAGATAACACTGACACTTCAGACTCATGTAATTGTCTGTCTGGAACAAAAATACTGCTGCTTGGTTCTAGTGGAAGGGTGTTTGCTGCTGCTACACCAGCAGATTACACCACCTTTCTGCAGAAGGTACTCTGTGTGGCTGAAGTGAGCCTGTTGCATCTGCTGCCGGAATGCGTTGTGTGTGAGCCCTTCAGAGTGGAGGTTAAACTCGATCCACAGAGAAGTTTGAGGTTTAAGAATTAACTTTAATGCAACTCATTTTCAGCCAAACTCCCTCTGCCATCCTAACTGGAGTAGGAGTGCTACAGAGAGTCCTCCCATTTTTTAATGGGATGACTATTACAACAGATCTTCACTATTAAAGAGATCAGTCTTATGCTTATCTCAAACCAATGGTGGACTTATGGTCCACTTAGAAATCATGCTAGGCTCTGGAATGCCTTCTCCTCTTTTCTTTTGTTAATAAAATTCTACATATTACTTGGACTTTTTACTAGTAAGTCCACAAACACTGGCAATATGCTGTTTCTTAAACTTCTTTGTTATGCTTTTGGACAGAATTATGCATTGAGGTATTTTCAGTCTTTCACAGAGTAGTCCTGCTTTTTTGCATTACAGTATTATTTCTACAAAAGAAACATGTCAGTAATTACACTGCTGAACTCCTTAAAACTTTATTCTGTGGGTATATTTTACCCCTAATCTTGGTGGACGAAAAAGGCATTTCTGTTTAGCTGTGCTGTCTGAAACTCTCACCTTACTTTAGTTTTCACCTTTTCCCAATCCCAAGCAAATGTCAGAAGTCTGTGATATTTGCTTTCTGCAAACACGGAGTACAGTAACAAGTTTAGTTCATCAAAACTCAGCGTTCTACAGTGAAGAGCTCACAACTAAGGTGAGAAATAATGAAATTTGTACCTTAAAACACACTAAAGTACAAAGTTTTATTTCCTCCATGCACCGCTTTCACGGGATAAGCACCTGCTGCTTCTCGAGTGGCAGGAGCGTGGGCGTGCTGCAGTTGCTGGTGTGCTTGGCCTGGGTGCCGGGGAAGGCAGGAACAAGGAAGTGACTAAAGGAAATGAATAGCCAGCATTTGTGCAACACGCTCCGGAGGGGTTTCTGGCACCCCTTGTTTCCCAGGATAACCGCAGAAGGCTAGGCTACTTCATGCTGTGCAACATGCCTGAAAATGGGCAGTGTCCTGGGTTCAGCAGTAGCAGTCATGTTTCTCCTCCTTGGTAGCTGGTGCAGTGCAGTGTTTTGACTTTCAGCTCGGGAACAGAGCTGATAACAATGATGTTTTGGTTTGGCCAAGGACTTTGTGAGCCTCATGCTCTGCCAGGGAGGAGGGGAAGCCGGGAGGAAGCAGAGACAGGACACCTGACCCAAACTGACCAAAGAGGTATTCCATACCACAGCACGTCATGCCCAGGAGGTAACTGGGAGTTAGCCGGAAGGGCTGGGAGTCTGCAGGGTTGGAGGAGGTATGGGTCGGAGCTTGGTTGGGCTGAGGGGGGCAAGTTATCGGTCGGCTGGTGCTGAGGTGTTGTATTCTCTTCCCTTGTTACTTCCTTTAACATTATTATCATTGGTGGTAGCAGTAGTGATTTGTGTTATACCTTAGTTACTAAACTGTTCTTATCTCAACCCGTGGGAGTTGCATTCTTTTCGATTCTCCTCTCCGTCCCTCCAGGAGCAGGGGGAGGGCAAGAAAGGGGGGAAGTGAGTGAACGAATTACCTGACTGGGTTTAAACCACGACAGGCAGCTATGGTTTGTTTTGTCCCCCTGAGCATGCTCTCTTGTCCCTTAAAAGAAACTGCAGTTTTTCCTCCGTGAGTACCCCCAAATACACAGATTGTGCCCAAATTCAGGTGAGGGCTGGAGGGCTGCCAGGGTACTGCAACCATTAAGCCGAGTTGAATTCCTTTGTAATTTAGATCTGCTAGTCTCTTTGAAGAGCTGAACTAGTTTACCTCAGACTGAGGTCTCTCCTTGTGCAGCCAGTGCTCACAGACAGGAAGGGCTCAGGTGGCCCAAAGCATCTGTCCAAAACAGAAGGACCTGAACTGTGGACCCTGTCACCTGTGTAACCCCAGTTTGTTTTGTTTTTTTTTCCCCTACTGAATTACAAAGGGCTGAAACCCTTGTTTCCCCTCAATCTGCACCTTGAACAGGTCTGAAAAGCCTGCTGCTACATGGAAAGCTGATGTATTTGCAAAATTTGATGTACTGTTGCAAAACACCCTTCAATAGCTTCATCTGCTGTTAGCAAAAGCAAACTTGAACACCCAGAAGAAGAAGGACCTCCATGCCCCAGTGCTTCAGCTGGTGCCATATATGCCACAAACAACTCCCTTGGACCCTGCTTGTCTGAAAGCAGAAATGTGGGATTTTATTCTTACAATCAATTTCAATAATGTTTATTAGCAACCTCAACTACCCCTTCATCAGTTGGCCATTTACTATTTTGTAAGTTCATGACTACAGCCTATTTAATACATGTTTAACTGCTCTGAAAGACCTAAATGGGGCCTACAAGAAAGTTGAAGAGCAGCTTTTTACAAGGGCATGTAGTGACAGGACATGGGAAATGGCTTTAAACTGAAAGAGGGGAGATTAGATATTAAGAAGTTCTTTGCTGTGAGGCACTGGCACAGGTTGCCCAGAGAAGCTGTGGCTGCCCCATCCCTGGGAGTGTTCAGGTTGGCCAGGCTGGACGGGGCTTTGAGCAACTTGGTCTAGTGGAAGGTGTGCCTGCCCATGGCAGGGGAGTTGGAACTGAATAATCTTAAGGTCCTTTCTAACCCAAACCATTCTGTGATTCTATGAATTGAAAATGAACTCAAATCCAGCATTAAGTGAAAAAGTTGACTCTGCTCTTGCAACCACACTGAATTTTCAGTCTGGCACTGCAGAACTCCCCCTAGGGCCAGAGAAGCTGCTCAGACACTTTCAAACAGTGCTTTCCCAAATGGCTTGTTTCAGTTTACTGAGTAACTAATACACCATTCATCCCATGCGAATTGCATGAGCCATCACAAACATTACTGAAGTCGTAAATTATTATAGCAACTGTAATTTCACTGCTGAACAGTTTACTAGATTAAGGGTTGGAGTCTGCCAGTGCTTTATAGTATTTTTAATTCTAAGTACAGAATAGGCACATCATTAAATAATTAACTGACTTAGTTTTGGAATATCCAGGTTTATTCCCTGCTTTTAACACATAAAATACCATTTAAAAACTCTTCAAAAGCCACATAAAACTCTCACATTCAGAATGGTCAAAGGAGTAAATAGGTAGTAACCTGTGTAAAAGTTATTACCAGTGAATAAATAAAGGTGGTGCAGTTGGCAAGGAAGCACCACAGATTACATGGATGAAGGTGAAGTGCATCCCCTCTGGCACCCAAGCACGCAGGAAGATGGGCAATGTAGTTGATAGTTACTATAAAATTTTAAAAGGGCAGCAATTTGCAGCCTTGTGCAGTGCAAGTTCTGAGCTACACCCCTGCTAGGCTTTAACAAGTGTAGCTGTGTAGGGTGGTACCTGAATGAATCCAAGAAGTACCGTTAATGTCAGCTTCAGAGAGGCAATTTATTTCAGTTAGAAACCTATGCCAGAGCAAAACGTTTCACTGACTCTACCCAAATCACCACAGCAGGCTTTATCATAAGTTAAAACAGTTTTGTTCTAAAGCTCAGTGAAAGCCACCATATGTAGATGGCTCCTCTTATTGTGTTAAGCAGTGGAGAAGTAACAGATCTTCACTGATCCAAACTGGACCAAATAAAAGGAGTGATGATGACAAGGCACACCTTACAATGCACCTGAGCTGCTTTCAGATTTTGGCAGGAAAAGGAGGTTTTTGATCAGAGGCATTAAGGCCTGAAAGATCAGTAGTTCAGGTCCACTGCAGTACCCTTAAAGCATGACTGCAGTGGGATTTACTCTAAGCGACATGACTGCAGCAAAACTTAGTAGGGCATAATTACACCTCTGACTTCACAACTAAATATCTTCTAGTAACGTGGCTTTAGGAACCTCATATACAGTAATATGTCAGTTTCCTAAAGGACACATGTAGTCTACAGTACAACGCCAGTAACAAAACAAAGGTAAATTGCATTCAGTTCAAAAAGAAAACAAAATAATTAAAAAGTGCAGTTGGTTCAAACATAACTACTGAAAAAATTTCATTTTTAGGTTGCATGCAGCAAAAATGTGCTTCTTCCTTGGGGTTGTGATATACTGCATGTTTCCATTTGATGATATGGTTTTCAAAAAGAGGTCACAGGTGAAAAGATGACTGTGTCTGGAATCTGGTGATACAGAAAGCTGAGTGAAAAAGAAAAACTAAGTTAATTGTTTCCATCCTACAGTAAATTAATCACTTTTCATATTTCAATCTAATTTTTATACAGTTTTCATAAAAATAAAATTAGCATTTAAAAAAGGACATAACTAGGAAGATAAATAGAAATTGTTCTAATGATTTCACTTACTTAGAAGTAGAAATGGCAACATATGCTTCCTGATGAGCTTAACTTTGAGACACCAAGCTGCAGAGCTTGTTCTTCCCCTTCAGAGGCTACTCTAGGAAAATACTGTCCATTTACCTCAACTTTATATCATGTATCTTTTTACTCTTTCTCCTTCTTCATCTACTTTGAACCACTTCTCCTTTGCCTAAACCCTGCCTCTGTATTTTACACATTTCAAGTATGTCAGCTACTGGGATCCCATCCTCATGTACTCATTGAAAAAACAGAACTGAATTACAAAGGAATAAGCTAGACAGTCTCTTTCAGCTTTCTTTCTAAGTCTCCAGACTAATATCTTTTATGTACAAGGTTCCCAGAATGGTTACACATCTTCATTGTCTGATGCAGTAAACAGAATAAAACAGAGCAATGGAAGTGCACCTCAAACTATGCATCTCCACAGCAACACCAGTTGCTTTAGGCTATTTTCCTTAACTGAAGAAGAGACCTTGACTTAAGAATATTCATCAAAAATACTCTGTTAAAAACAGAATGTAACTGATTTTATCTTTTTTTACCACAACAGGGAATGATAATATTCCTTCCAACTTGCATTGCTTTAGCAAGAAAGAAATGAAGCTTATTACTTCCTGTTTGACCAACAATATAAATGCACTACGACAAAGCATTTCATTTCTCTGTCTGTTTTGTGACAGTCAGCTTCAAAACAGTAATGTTCTCAAATCCTTATAGTTACAACGTCAATTTTGCCTTCCTCTTGAAGTAACTCCTGTTTTCTCCCTGAGTGAACCAACTAAATCTGAATCATTCTGAATATCTGAATTGCAAGTTTGAATGTGATTTCTCCCTTACCACGTATTTTAGGAGTAGGTTACAACCATCATTCTCAGTGACCAATGTGTTGGTACTTCCATACACATGCTGATCTTCCTTTGTCATCAGAGCATCCTGACTACTTTTTATATATTGCTGCTGTCTCTCAACCAACAAATAATTTGTCCTGAAGTCCAGCTCATGAAACAAATAATCTTGTATTTCAGCATCACCCATGTTATGTTGCTCTGCATTTGGTACATTATATTGTACCTCTTCTGAAGCTGTCAGACACGTTTCAAAGAGCAAAAAGCAACTCCACATCCAAACAATTATATTGGGACCAAACAATTACATTAGGACACTTGCTAGAACAGCAGGCTAGAACAGCAGAGAGGAACACATGAAATACACTCTGGTTCTTTGAAGCACTTACTTTCAGAGCAATACTTACCTTGGTCTGGATCAGTGCTTTGCAGTCATTAACACTGAATCCATCAAATCTGAAGTCCTCAGTATCTTTAACATTTGATTCCTCAACAATATCCTGGCTCTCTGAAAAGTCCTAATAAAACATAATTTACATTTTCTTTATGAATTCCTACCTAATCTCAAAGCACATAACCTAAAGAGAAGTTCCCCTCAAAGTAAGAATAACCACTAAATTTTACCTTTTGAAGCTATGTTTTGATTTATCATGTGCCCTCCTTGCATTAAAACAATTTTATGCCAGAGTAAGTTCTATACACATGAATTTAATTGACTTAAATTAATAAAAAAGCCATTTCCAAATAAAATTACCCTTAAACTACTCCAGAAAATAGCTGAGAAATACATCTTCATCAGTACTGTTAAAAGCAATATAATTTTCCTGTACCAGAAAAGAAGTAATGACCTCAGTTTAAGCTGCCTGGACATTAATTTAATGCCAGTGTATCTATGGGAAAGGAGCAGAAGGGGTGTTTAACTATGTTGGGGAAATGTCTCCCATTCTCTCCTGCTAAGCAACAGTCCCAAAAAAGTGGCTTTCAAGTGCAGAATAGATTCTACACCTTCAGTACTGTCATTCTGTTTACATATAACTTGCATGAAAGATCAAGTATGTCCATAAAATCAGAATTTAATGCAGGACTCCTGACCCATGCTTCGGCAATCAAATTATCAATTGAGACAGTTACTTCCATATATGACTTATTCATCCCAACTAAATAACCAGGTTGAATACCAAACCATGTATGATACCTTGATCTTCTCAGAAAAGGGAGATTAAACAGAAACATTTCTTTTTTGAGATATTTTCAGTACTGTTGGTTTGGTCTTGATTCAATTTAAAACAGACCCTTCCCTCAAGCCTTGCAAAACCAGACAGAATAATCTGAGGAAAAGGGACGTGGAACACACTTTCAGTTCACATACAGTAAAAACATCCAGTAATTACTTTAATGCCCTCTCTGATTCAAATCAGATTTTCACTTACTGGAAAGATATTAGAGACTAACAATTTTTTCATCCTCTGAGCAAAAAAGAAAACATCACACATATATCTGAAAGCTAATTCTACATCTGTACTAAAGCTGAACATACCACCCAGCAACAGGGTACTAAATAGTGGAGACTTCAATGGAAAGATGATCAAAATTCGATCCTGCACAACTTCATAGTTCCTTACACATAATGATGAACAGACACTAGACTATCACTTTAAAAGGCTCTCTCTAAAAAAACTTGCAACCCAGATCTAGTTTCTTATGCATTTATCCCCATGCATAGCTTACAGAAGATAAGATTCATAACAAAGTGTTTATCCTGGCATCCTAGAAAACCATTGTTCAATTACCTTTTGATTTGCATCTATTCTGAGAACACTCAAGAGGTTTTCTTGGCAATGAGATTTACCCCAGGGATGTCTCAAACTGGGAGCATTATAAAAGTCTCTAAGTGTTCTCCATATGTTTCCAGAATCAGTGCTAGGAAAGAAAACACCATTTGAGGTTGTAAGTTGTACAAAGTTTCCAGTGAACATATATAACTTCATTATTTTCACTACATACAGCCATACTAGCTTACCTTGATCTAAAAAGCAACTTCTCTTAAAACTCATTCTGCATCCATTTAAGTTACCTACCCAATGCACTAATAAGCTTTTGTGACAATTAACAGAAACAGTAAGTCAACATAACCGTACGTTTGCTCTTCTCAGATAAGAAGTTCAGTAGAAGCATATTTAAGAGATTGTTACATGCCAGCAGTTTGCATTATGCAGTTTCTTCTGTGACATGTGCGTAGGATTCAGCCCTATTATTTCTGCACTTTGCACCTTCTGTCTCTCAAAACTTCCTTCTTCCTATCAGTCATGCCTCTCCACTGCAGCAGCCTAGTGGTGGGTGACCTGCATCTGCCCTGGACATGCAGGCACTACAAAACAAGCCAAAGGCACATGCTACTGAAACAGGAAGAAGTTCTCACTACAGAGTACTTTGGATTCTTATATTGCATTCATCTCATATAAATCCACTTGCTTTTTAACATGCAGGCACTACAAAACAAGCCAAAGGCACATGCTACTGAAACAGGAAGAAGTTCTCACTACACAGTACTTTGGATTCTTATATTGCATTCATCTCATATAAATCCACTTGCTTTTTGCTTAGGACAGGATGCAATTATGACTAGTCTTCATTATTCACCACAGTAGACCAAGGCTTTTGTATCTGTAGCTGGTACTCTGCTATAATACTGCAGTCCTTTTTCATTGGAACATAGACCGGTTTGGGTTGGAAGGACCTTAAAGATCATCCAGTTCCACCCCCCTGCCATGGTCAGGGACACCTTCCACTAGACCAGGTTGCTCAAAGCCCCATGAAACCTGGTCATGAACACTGCCAGGGATGGAGCATCCACAGCTTCTCTGGGCAACCTGTGCCAGCACCTCAGAACCCTCACAGGGAAAAATTTCTTTGTAATATCTAAACTAAATCTACCCTCTTTCAACTTAAAGCCATTCCCTCTTGTACTATCACTACATGCCCTTGTAAAAATTTCAGCTCTTTTAGCCCTGCTTTGGGTACTAGAAGGCTGCTCTAAGGTCTCCCCAGAGACCTTTTACATACATATATTTCTCCACAAGTCTGAGCCTAATTAAAAAAACACATATATAAGAAACTTGCTGAAAGGATGCCCACATTAAATGTTTTAACTACATTTCTTGTGATTCTTACGACATTTCTGAAGTATAGTTTGACCCAGCTTTCTAGATACAAAACCTCATATGTATACAGAAATAACTATAATACTGTTCAGCAATTATAATACTGCTCAGAAGCTACTGATCCTCCCAAAAGATATAACAAATCTAAAAGGATTCCAGCAGTCTTAAGAGAAAGCTAAGTTAATGGTACTAATTGCTGCTAACATAACCCAAGGAAAGAAGCCAGATGCACCACAGATTCTGAAGCACATCTGGTTAAATACAAGAAGCTACCACCAGGGAAAATTGGGCAGGGTCTAGAAAAAAAAAAGCAAGTGGGTTTTCAGTAGAAGCAGCAGCAATTCTCCTGCCTCAGATGATGGAGAAGTAAGTCAGATGTGTGGTAAAGAAAGGACAAGCAAACAGGAAGAACAGGTTGCCTGTTGGGTGTTCTGCCATTCCTAAGGCTTAGTCATAAGGAGGCACATCACAAGCAGGAAAAACACTAAGCAGAAATTGTTAATTTCTGATATATTCCCTTCCCTGTTTTCCAATGACTAAACACAATCCTTTTCCTTTAAAAATACAATACAGAACTGCCAAGATCTATCTGCTGAAGCGCATAGCGATTAAAAAGATTTTTAAGTTCACCTGCAAGTCCCACTGATTTTTGAAGTATGAAATAATCAGTGTAATTGCTGAGGAACTTTGTAAGTAATATTTTTTTAACTGTTGATCTAAGCTCATTACCAAAGTTGATTCTTTGTAAGTTCAGGAATCCCAACATCTTCATTATTTGTGTCAAGTACTTGATCTAAGCTTCTTATGCTCTCGCTGGACTGTGATACAAAGACTTCTGGAAAGCTCAACTTAAACATATCCTCATAGCTCTGGCTTGCCTAGAAAAAACAGAGTTTTATTAGATATGTTACACAGGCCATCTGCACAGTTCATGAAGGACTTAGTCCAAAGGCTACAATGTTTCTAGAGACTGTATTATTGTTTTTAAAGTTTGTATTGCTATTAATGGCACAAAAAGAATTAGCCCATAGTTCATTGTTTTGAGTATTTACCTCTAATTAGAACTAGAAGAGGAGAAGCAAGAGTCCAAGAGTTTCTAATGAACCCTGGTCTCCAGCTTCCCAGCTCCTAAGTTGTACATTGGTTTGCCTACTGGCACTCAAGACTCCTTCTTCTGCTCAGCTACTTCAGTCCAGGTCAAAACTGATGCGTACACAAATTCAAAAGTTTGTTTTGCTAAGTTAGTATTCAAATACACCTAATTCAGTCAAATGTAACATATTACTAAATGCTATAGTTACCAATGTGTAAGTCTGCAGAGAGGCTGGGGTGAGTATGTCTCTGCATACTTGCATTTGCAGCAAACTTTTTCTAGCCTATGCTAAAAATCAGAGACAGAGTTATATATTTTTTCCTCCTCCAGCAGTGATGAGGAGTATGTTTGGAGTACTGAACATAGTCACATGAGTGATCCAAACAGGCCTATGGTAAGTAAGAGGGTTATCTGAAGTGTAAGAAATACATATACTAGGAAAAACATGCATAATCTACATCCTATCCTAAAGGAATGTTATCATGCCATCTGGTCCAGAATGGCACATTTGTCCTTCTATTTCTTCAAAGAAGAAATTAGTGTCATTTTCTGAATTGACTTAATTGGCTTCAACATCCTGCAGAGGGACTGCAACCCAAGAGTAGCAATGTTGTGTGAAAACTAGAGAATAAAACCAGTCAGTTTGCTTTCTTTATCTAGCAATCAACAATTAAAACTGAAAAACATAAGTATGGATGCTCCATATTTTGACAATTTCATTTAATTGTAACTCAAACAGCTGAAGTAAGTGGAGGTATTTCCACAAGTTCATTATACTGAACTCAAACAAGTGCAGTAAATACTGAGAGGGTATTGATTTAATCTAATGATAAGGGGTCGAAATCAACAGAGCTGGTAGAAGGCTTCTGTACTTCTGAGCATGCTTCTAGAAATAGAATTGGTGCTCCACACTGCTTCCTCCTCAAGTAAGGCCTGGCTAAATTGCCTACCCTGATGGGCAACTGCTGGGTCATTCATAGACTCTTGGGTAAAATCCTCTGAATCTTGCCCAAAATGTTATTAATACTTTAAACTGATTTATAAATTATTTCAGTAGACTTAACTTGCATCAGGGGTACTATATGGCAGAGAAAGATGTCTTGACAAGCAGAATTCTGTGAAGCACACTTGCTAAAGCATACATGGAGAGTCATGGTCAAGAAAAACAAAACCAGCTTCCAAGTAGGTACCAAAACCTGAATGGGATTGGAGCCAAGGACAAATCAGGCAGCTGCTCTTGGCTTTGGTGTGTGTGAGTGAAATTACAGTCACGGAAGTGTGAACTGGGGGAAGCACAGGTCTGCCTCATTTGTAATGTCTTCTTAGAGCCTGTAATGCTACTCTGACACGCATACAAGTCACTGGCTTACAGTTTAGCCAAGCCAGATAAAATATGCAAGTTTCTTATGATCTTTATTACTTTCTACTTCAGCAGGTGTTTCTAAAACAAAATTTGGGTATATTTCCATCTACCTTGTAGCTTTAATTATAAAAACAGGAATGCACAAATTTCACAATGGTGCTTTTTGACTAAATCCTCCATATCCTATTGTATCAGAATACTCCAGTGCTTAAGGAAGTGCAGTCTCACAAAGGCCAGTATTTAAAGAACACATGAAAAATCCTTAGAGTTATTTGACCATGTAGTCAAAATATGCAGCTACTGCCGGGAAATTAGTGGTTGTTTTCATCTTAAAACACATGATTCTGGTCCACACTGACATTTAATTAACTAAAGCATTACATATTGAAGGTCAGATCTCTGACCTCAAATTATCTCTAGAGGTCTCTTCCAACCTATCTGGACTTTTTTCTATTGATCATACAGAAAACAGAGCCCTAACCAACCCTAAGAGTTTACGGCCTCAAATAAACAATACAGAAAGCACAGGAATGAAGGACAAGCTACACTTATATCCTACACCCAAAGAAATCTCCAACAGCTCTGCAGATATTTTTCCACCCTGAGACAAGAAAAGCCAACTTGAAACTCTAGGCACTGTTAACTTACTTAGCTTATACTGGACATTTCCTTTTGCCTTTAATACATGCAAAAATAAATCAAAGGCTCCTGGAAAGAAAGCAATTCTATTTCATCTCTAGTTGTTACATACGCTCTCTTTTCAACATAAGACTTCTTGACACCAGTTTCCAGCATTACAAATAATTTAAATTCTCTGTTCGTGACCTTGTGATCTCCACTCTGCCAGTGCTGGACAGCTTACCCCATGTGCATCTTTGTGCTTTCCCTATTAACACCTCTACCACAGGTAAAGTTCCCAAGCAAGAGCAAGACAGCCCTTCCCCAGAAAACTCTCAGTTCCATACAGATGCTAAAACTCATCTTGCAGACTACAAGTAGTAAGCTATTATTGCTCCTCATGAACCCCATGAAAGCCTTAAATCATTGCTCTTTTTCAAATGTTTTAGTTTAAGATAGAAGTAGAAGGAGGGTGTTTAGTTTTGTATATTTGTATTTTCCTTTTGTTATTTTGTTTCACTTTGGTGATGCATGTTTGGCAAACATGGAAACACATCAATTGCAACAAGGTGCAACCCTTAACCTTAATCTTTTAACACTTAACCTTTTAACCCTTAACCTGAACCTTTTTTTTTGTGATAAGGACACATTATAGTATTTATTCAGATTATTAGTTCTAATATTGTATAAGAGAATGTAACATCCTATGCTAAAAAAAAAAAAAAAAAAATAAATAAAAATTATACTAAATAACTTCTGTTCACCTTTTTGTCATTAACTTCCACTTGCAATCAGTCTAAAATTCCACTAGATTATTCTGGCAGTATATTAAGTAACAGAAGTTATTGGTTTTGCCAATTTCTAACTCAGTGTTATGTTGCTTTACTTCAATCAGCTTGCAAGCAAGTCATACACTTTTTGACCTGCCTTTTTTTGTCACTGATTTTTTTGTTTCCTATGCTCATTCTAATCTAGCTTTTAAATTGTGTGAGCTTCAGGGCAAAGTTCATTGCTTCTGTGTGCTTACTTATTCCTAGTGCCTAGAAGCAACATAGTACATTACATTCTTTAAAGCTCTCCAGCAGGATAACTTAAGTATTTGTCAAACACTATAAAGGAATTGCATTTCTTCCACCCAAGTTAGCTGCAAAGTACTTTGACAGTTTCTCTCCCTGTGCAACATTATTCTTTACAGAGGAGACATTCAGATACAAATCTTGAGATGTAGGAAGCAGTAACACAAACATTTCTGTTCTTTGGTTTACTGTTAACACGTACCTCATTTAGAGAGCTTGAAGCCTCCTGTATCACACTGTGTAGAGATGGCTTAGAATAAAAGTGATCAGCATCAGTGCTACAGTGTCCACTGCTTAAGTCTCTATCAACTCCAGAAGTTTCTGTTGACTTCACCAAAACGTCAAGATTTTGACTGAATCTCTCTGACTCACCCAAGGACTCCCCAAAGCCTTCAAAATCACCCCAGGAACCACTGGGTTCTGAGGCACTGTAACTGCTTTCAGAAAATCCCTCACAACTTCTCTTTTTGCTGTTCACTACAGGAAGGCTTTGCTGCATGACTTCAAGATTAGTACTTTCTTCATTAATTGTCCTTCCATTCAAGTTATAGTCACTTTCACCCAGAGATGTACCACCTACTTCAACTGCCAGGTCTTTTAGAGACATTTGGTGCGATGTGTATCAGTAAGACTTTGTCCTAGTGACAGGTTCTGTGTCTTTAAGAAAAATTAATTTGTTGATATCTGCACTGCAAAAAAAGGCGACTGAAGTGCAGTTGCATTAGATATATGAATATTTCCAAAACAGAATCAAATTCCTCATTTCACCCCAAAGAACAATAACAGTGCTAAATTAAAACAGGACGTCCTTCAGCCTCTCCTCCAGTAATCAGCATGTGCATGTTATTCAGTCTCATTTTCTATGTAGGTTATTAGCCTGCAAAGAAAGAATTACAAATAAATACTTCTGTGATAAGGGCTGTGTCGGAATAAAGAAAGATATGTGATGAGGAAGGAGAAAGAATGCTCAGGTTAAAATAAACACATTCCAGTATTACACAACTGAAAATTGATGTAGGCAAAATGATTTAAAATTCACACTGAGCTATCTGCCCACACCACAAGCAAGCCATGGAATTGGTGAACAGTATTCAGCAAACACTTAACAGAAGTTGTTGGATATTAATTGAGTACTGATTGAGTATACAGGAAACAAGAATAATTATAGGCAGTATCTGACAGATATTAAGTATTTTTTGTAACTATTACTTTTTACTGTAACTATTTCATCCACATCATGCATACTCGAGCAGCGCTCCTTTTGCCTGCCAGGGCTTTTCCAGTCCGAGCGATTACTAAAAAGATGAACGAGACTTGCAGCGACACGGGCACTGGCCGTTTAAATCCTGTGAAAAACATAGTGCCGCAACTACTTTAGCAATTCAGATAGAGTTAAAAAATTCAGTTTGACATCTGTAAATTATACAGGCAATACTGCATTTATCATACGAGATTAATCACGTCTCCTCAAGCACTTCAGGCACTGAGAAGCTGTTCTGGGGGAGGGTTTGTAGCTTCACTAAAACCACTTCGGAAAGACCGTCTGCTATTAGGTGTTCTCCGTGTTTAACAGACCGAGTTAATCTGGGGGTTTTCTCTCCAAAGTTCATCTCGAGGGTGGCTCAGGGCCGGCCGGGCACACCCTGCCGCGACGCGCTAGGGCTTTGGAGGGGTCCGGGCTCGGAGCGAACAGCCAGGGCACGGGAGCACGGGGCCACGGGGGTCGAGAGCCCCGTCCCCAACCCGGCCAAGACTGCACCCGAGGGAAGAGGCTCCTCCACCCGGGTTTCCCACCGCCCGCCTGAGCGCTGCCACCTGCGCTCCTCACAGCGGCACGGCGGGCCCCTCGCACCACGGGGCCCGGGCAGGGTGAGGGGGAAGCTGAGCCGCCGCCGAAGCACCCGCGGAGCCCAAGGTACTCCGGCCGTTGGGCCGCGCCGCCGCCTGTGAGGAAGCCGCCTTACCGCCGATCCGGGCCCGGCCCGCGCCGTGCCGCGTCGCGCAGGCAGGTCGCTAGGGGCGGGGCCTAGGTGTGCCGGGCAGGGCGGCGGGGCCGCTACCGGCCGGGGCGGAGCAGCGCCCCCAGCCCCTGCTGGCGGGTGGAGGGGACAGCTCCCCGTGTGGGACCGGCTTCCGCGGCCATGCTCGGCTTCCGCCCTGCCCGGGGAGCAGCCAGGGGCTGCGGCCCCGGCGGAAGCCCCGTTATGGCTCCGCTCTCTGTTTTGTCAAGTACTTCCCCGGCTCTCCGGCCTTGTCCTTGAGCTTCGGTCATTACGGTTGTTGTCACCCGCACCTCCCGTGGGTTAAAACTGCCCTGTTGCCTTCAGCCAGAAGTCAGCTGCCACCCTGAAGGGAAAGACTAATTTTAAAGCCCTGATGTGAACAGTATTCACGTTTTTCCAGCTGCTTCTTTCCAGCCTCGGGTGACATAGTCCAGGGTGAAGCGTCCCTGCCCAAGGCAGGAGGGGTTGGAACTGGATGAATTGAAGAGCCTTTCCTACCCAAGCCATTCTATGATTCTATTATTAAAAATTCCAGGGTACGGACTTAAAAAGAGTAACAATCAATCCACCAGTAACATAACCTCATGGTAAAACGGTAGGAACACGCCACCAACAGCTGCTCAGGATTTCCTCTTCCTCTCTTCCTCCTTTTGCTCCCCAAGGTGTTTGGCTGCTCCTCCTCCCTCTCTGCTGAGGCACTTGTAGCAGGTAGATGCAGGAGCTGTGTGTCCGGTCGCTGTGTTGGGGTCACCCCGCAGCTGGGGGTGAGCATCGCTTCTTGCCCGCCTCTTGAGGAGCACAGGTGTGGGCTGGAGGTGGCTTGCCCGAGGCTGGCTGCTTCTGCCCCTGGGGGCAGAGCGAAAGAGGTCAAAGAAATGTCCTCAGCCTCCTTGTCCTCAGGGCTCGGTTAAACATTCAGATAGCCCCTGGCAACGGGGACAGTTGTAAAAGCAAGGGGAAGTTTTCTGGAGCAAGGCCGAAGTAAAAAAGTTTTTTCTATTACTTACAGGACGCATGTTTTCCAGTCCAGGCACAGATACATGCACTCCCACACATCTGACTCTCATTCCAGGCTGTAGTGCTTTATCTGAGGGTGAGAGGCTGAATTTGGGAGCCATACCCAGGGGCAGAGCCAAAGAAACTTCACTGGCAAGTTCTGACAGATTTTTACAACTCGTTTCCGTTCTCTTTGGAGCAGTTTCTTACTGCTATCCTGTGGCAGCCTGCAGCTCTGAGGATGTCCGACCAGCTCAGCGGGACTGTGATTCAGCCCCAAAGCATCTGACACTTGTTGAGGTAGCGTCATCACCCGCAGTTGGCGCTGCGGGGACCTCAGGGGTTTCAGCTCTCTTTTCAGTTGTGAAGGGAGCTCAGCATTGTTTCAGCTACCGACATTGTTTCACATTTTCACCTTTGTCTTCTCAAAGGAAAAGGCTACAGACTGCGCGAAGGCTGAGATGCAGCTCTCCAGACCATGCTTTATATCCTGAGAGGAAAGGCTGTGCGGGTTTTGCAAACCTGTCTCTGTCCTGCCAAGTTCAAACTGTCTTTGCAGTAGCGCAAGCAGAGTGATGGGAAAGCAGAGAGCATCAGAAACTGCCACAGGCTTTAGAAACCACAGTGCAGGAAAACAAAACTGTAGTGCATTCTTCCCAGGGTAACATCAGTAACTTTATTAAGGGCTTCCCACATAATGGCGTTTATTTCTCTCTCCAGCACACCCTATAACCCACGTTGGGAAAAACAAGTTGCTAACCCCAAGTCCATGCTGAGGAGGCAATGGGCTGCACTATCTGTGAGATGTACCTACTGCTGCTTCCACTCTAAGGCAAACGTAGCTGAAACCCCACAGAACCAGCTCCAGAAGAATCTGCACTGGTGTGGTTTGTGCAGGTTTTCAAATCAGAAGGAGTCAGCATGAGGTACAGTCTCCCTGTAAACTGGATCTCATCTGCCCTCCTCTGAATTCACTTCTTGTGACTCAGATCAGGTGAGTGTGAGTGTGACAGCTACTGCTGGGATCCCTAATTTCTGTTTTAAATGACACCCTGCCATAGACTGCATGTTAAATGCATGATCACAGTTGGATTAAGGATTTTTGCCTCTGAAATATATTGGGGGAAAAAAAAAAAATATTATCTGTTTGGGGCCATCCCCAATGTCTTTACAATTTTGTTTGATACATACCAGGCCTTAGGATTTACCCCATAATTACAGCATTAAATCAATATTTTTTAGTGAATTATGACTTTTATTTTTCTAAAATAACCCAGTCTTTATTTCGAAGGTAAATATGCTAAAAGCTTCAAATATGGACTATAAATGTATGCATCTACTAGAACGCAACTTCACTACTCAAAAATTCACCAACACAAGCAACTGAATTGATTGAACACTCATCTGCAGCTGCTATTACTCCTGCCACCATTCCTACTGGAAAGTTACTTGAGTGCATATACTCTAGATTTACTCTTTTTTTTTTTTTTTCATTTTGTCCTTTGGAAGAATTCCAATTTGTAATTAAAATATTCAACAGGATGACTGAAAAGTATTTACTCTCAGAGCAAATCACCACCACACTGCTGTAATATAAATTATATGTTTGTGAAAGATCTGGTCCTCAATTACGGAATTCTGTGGTTCCCCTGTAAATAATATGGATGGCTTTTTATTTCCTTCATTTGCTTTCTTGGAAAAATATTATAAACAAGCAGTACCTTTCTATACAAAATTTTTAGGTTGTTTTTCAATTGAAACATTAAGCAAGATCAGCTTCCTATTTAAATTAAACATTTTCTTTGATTCATATTAAATATTTGGGTGCCTTTTTCTTGTAAAAATAATTACATTTAGCTAAGCTGGCTTAAGATGCTACTTAGAAAGTGAGAATAAACATGTTTTCAGAGTCGATAAATGATTTTGATTGACTCAAAGCAACTTTTCATTTGATGAGCTGTCTTCTAAGTGGATAATTAATAATTTTTTCTCACCATGAGTGTCCAGATTTTAGAAGTGCAGGACATCAGCAATATTTTCATTTCCACAGTAATAATGCTCAGCTTTTTTAAAAAATACCCAGTGCAGATATCGGGTTTAGCACTGATTTAAGTGACTACCTATGGCTTAAATTTGAAAATGTCATTGATTATTCCATTAAACTCCCTTCTGGAGACACAGTGGTTTTCACCATACCTTCCAGCTTTCCTTAGCTGTTGGTACGGATGGTTTGAAAGAAAGGTCAGTAAAATCAATCATCTTTTCCCTGAGTTAGCTACGAGAATAGCAGCACTTCAGGGCAAACTTTCGTTCCCCTCAGTACGTGGCAGCTGTGGATTTCCAGGACCCCCGTGAAATATTGCTCTGCGTGCTAACGCAGTGTGAGGGGAATCACCGGCGCTAATGAGTCACTTGCAGCAGCTGGCAGTGCCTGGGATGAAAGGCGAACCAGAATCTTCCCAACAGCAGATGGCAGCTCTCCCTTGTCTCTTCCGTGAACACAATATTGTCAGTTCTCTTGAGCAGGGGAGTGATTCAATCCTTCTACACACTACATTAAAAAGGTATTGGACCACCTGCTCTATGACCTGACCACAGAAAAGACATTTCACATGACTCCTATATTGATGGGCTGTCAGTGTAGAAAGACCTACCCATAAAAAGGCAATATCCTTTGCCAGGAGGCAGAAGATATACTTTAGGTGCCTTTCTTTTTTTCTCTCAGGTGTATAATTTAAGGAAGCTGTAATCCACCTCTCAAAAAAGTTAATGTGCAAGAGGTGTGTGTGCCCTTGGCTCAGTTGAGGTTGAGGTTGTTCAGAGAGTTGGGGTTGTTCAACCTGCAGAAGAGAATACTCTTGGAGAAATCTTATAGCAGCTTCCAGTACCCAAAGGGGCCTACAATAAATCTGGAGAGGGACTTTCCACAAGGGCATGTAGTGACAGGACAAGGGGGAATGGCTTTAAACTGACAGAGGGCAGATTTAGTTTAGACATTAGGAAGAAATTCTTCACTATTAGGGTGGTGAGGCACTGGCACAGGCTGCCCAGAGAAGCTGTGGCTGCCCCATCCCTGGTAGTGTTCAAGACAAGGGTTGGATGGAGCTTTGAGCAACCTGGTCTAGTGGAACATGTGGGGTTGGAACCAGATGACCTTTGAGGTCCCTTCCAACCCAGACTGTTCTATGGTTCTGTGATTAAGTGGCTACATTTAGCAGTTTTTTCTAGCCCAGTAGTGTGGTTTCGAAGCAAATCTCATTTTTGCGTCTATGGCTAGCCTGGCTCTCAGAGTGATTTTGAGGAGCACAAACGAGGTGTCTTCTGTGAAATGCTATTCCACTTTGGCACTTCATGGAAACATCATCTTCCAAGTTCCTATATGGGCTGCACTACTTTTCAGATCCTCCAGCATGTTACATAGCACATGAGCTTAAAAAAGACTCTCAAACCACTCAGAGCTTCCACAAGTTCCTGAAATTGTTCTTGTGCTAAATGCAAAGGGCCAAGTGCCATAAGCACCTTCCTATTTGCCAGGTTCTGCCAGCATTCAGCTCTTCACCACCACTCCATCATCCACAGACACTTCTAGTTTGAAATAATTCCCTGTCTTTAGCTGCTCTCCCTTCTGTTATAGTCTCACTTGCTGAACACCTCATTTCTATTATCAGATCTTTTTCTTACTATCTGTTTGACAACTGTTCTTTCCTCTGCCTTTAGCCTCCCCAAAACTGAGAGAGTTGTAACCTGGGCCCCTTGTGGAAGTAATAGTGCTTGTTTTTCTGCGAGAACATGAGAGGCAGAAGAGAAGGACAAAGGTTTCCTGGGTAGCAAGAGTAATTTTCTGGCAGAAGCAGGAGGTTGCTAATGACACGACTGCTCTTGGTATGAGAGCACTGGCAAGCAGTGATCCACAGATTTCAGGAGAATAAAGGTCATCCTCTTGAAGTCCCATTACACTTCACCGAGAGCATGGCAGACATGTACCTCTTACATGAGTACAACATGGCAGCAGCTGCTCGCATGGGCTCTCTCATCATGGTAGAAAGCCTGGAGAAATGGCAGTGCTTTGACATGGCTTCAGGGTTCCTATTCTTGTATCCCCAAAAAGATCCCTTCAAAGTATCATAAGGTACCTTTTTTACCTCCTCCACATCGTAGCTGGCATCAACACCCCCTATGCATACTCTTGTTTCCAGCACAGTACTGCTTTTCTGTAAGTGGAATTACAGCTTTGTGCTCAGGTCTGCAGGGAAGTGATAAATACCACCAGGCTGCACAGAAGAGCTGGCATAGCTCTAAAAACAAACACAGGGGCTATGAGCTGCAGGAGAAATCATTCACACAGCAGCTACCTGAAACTATAAACAATGATAGGAAGCTGCCCTCCCAGTCCTGACTCAGTATGAATGACTTTGCCTTAAAGCTGTGCAACAACCACAGTAATGTATGTGTAAAAAAATGGAAGAACAGCTCCTTCATTCATTCAGCAGGGCTGACAGCTATTCCAGATGGCAGACTTCTGCTTGGAAACACAGGCTCTGGAGGGGTGTCATGGCCCCACATCACTGTCTCCCTCCAGAGCTACCCAGTTGCTGCACACACATCCTGCAGGTGGGCCTGTGTCAGGAGCTGGAGACGGAGGGAGTTCAGCACCTTCCAGTAATTGACATGCGAGTCCAGACCTTGGAGAGGGAGAGACCGTCTTGCACCAAGTTATTTGCTACTGTAGGCATAACCAATGGCCATATGAAGATTTTGCTTCTCATGATCCATCTGGCCAATGAAAGGATCCTCAGGGCAGACAATTACACATCTGTTGATCTCTGAAACCTCCAACTCCTGACTCTCTTGCTGCTGTTTTCTTCTCCTACTTTTATCTCTCCTTGCCCTGAGTGTAGTCAGAGCAGGTCTCCCCTAAGGTACCCCTTCTGAACACAGGTGAAAGTGGGCCCTGAGCTCCCTGGACCTTCTAAAGCTTGTAGAAGGACGCAACATATCCTAAAACTTGAAAAAGGCAGTTGTTTGGCAGTTGTGTGTGTGGTACCATAGCTGAATTGTATTTGGTGTTTCACGGTCATCTACTTATACATGCTCCTTGCTCTATTATCATTTCCTATTAAGCTACTGTTCTGTGTTGCTTTTTCTGGTGATCATTCAAAATCATCATTTACATGTATTGAATATAAGTCCAACAGTTCCGGCTGCCCACATGGGTTTTTCAGATACATAGACTTTAATTTACTGAAACCATACCTTGTAATTTTTGCCACTCCCCTGCATGCACTGTAAACTGAGTCGTGATAGCTGCAGTTTGCAGCTCACTAATCCTCTAGTTTAATGCTGATTAGGTCCTAAATCCATCATTGTTAGCGAGATGTGGGTGTGGGGGAGGATAGGAAGATTTTGTCCTCTTGGCTGAGAGCTAAGCTTCTAGAGGTACACCCGACTGATGCTGTGTAAGTCTTATTAATTAGCTCGTCTGGAAATTTTGCCAGTGCTGTTCAGTGAGAGGTCAGACACTCCACTAGAAGTGTTGTGCTTCATTTTTAAGTCACAGCACTTGAGACTTAACAAACCTCTAGGAAAAAAAAAATCAAATAAATCATTAGCATAAAAATATTTTTAAAGCCTCAAGTCCCCTCTTCAAGCAGCATTTGAAAGAACACTGAATCATAATAATTAGCACTTTTGTAGCTCCTGAATTACAAGGATCTTGCTTCTTCATTCTCCAAGTGAGCTTCACAAGGGCTCCAGTGTAGGCAGAGCAGTGGTCACCACTGCATTTTGCAAGGGGGAATCATCACCACTCCATCTTGCACCGTGGAAACATAATTAAAGTTATCTGCCCCCAAAAGAAGATACCAAGGCCCTGTTGGATGTCTTCATATCCCAAGCCCCCTTAAATGAAATCAATGATCAGTAAAGATGTCATTCTACTGCTTAAATTGTAGCACTGCAGTATTAATGAAAAATACATGCCATTCTTGCAAGAAAATAAAAACGTAATTAAATGGCAAAAAGGCAGAATTCGGGTGTTTTGAGTATGTGTGCAAGGGACTTACCTGCCTTTCCTGCTGGACAGTGCCATGGCAGAGCATTATGACTGTGTTACAGACAACAGGCAAGAGCTCAGATATCGGATAAAATAGGTGACAGTTTCTGAAGCTGAAGTAAACGGCAAACTGAACTTCAAACCCTTGCCATGCCCAAAGCAGCAGGGCAGGCTCTCAGCGCAAGGGTCTGAGG